AAAAATGTTATTTTTATTGATGAATCGTTGTGAGTACAATTCTGTTGTTCTCTTGATTCTCTCTCCTAAGATTCTCCAAGATTCGAGGGCCTTCAGTAGCGTATTTCTCGAAATGTTGGAATGATGTAGACCTCCTTGAGATGTTGTCGATCTCCGGGAACGTCGGAAAACGCTTCGTCGTTTCAAGTCGATCTCCGGGAAGAACTCCGTTGATGACTCCTTCGAAGAGCTATGTAGTTGATGGTGTAGCTTCCTCCAATTGCAGAATGCTTGTTGAAGAGCTTTCTTGATGCCCCCTAGAATGTCATGTCCATCCCCTATTTATAGTTGTAGGGGGTGGACAAGGTTGCTTGTGATTGGCCAAAGAATGTCATTTTGACACTTGGCGGATTGCGATTGGTTCTTGCATTTGACTGGGACTACCACCTCCTTTGGACACGTGGCGTCACCTTGTTGGTCTTGGATGCCTAGTCACCGTGACACGTGGCATGAGTTTGGGCTTCAAGGTGAAATGGACCTTGAATTTGAATTTAATAAGATGGACTTATTTATTTGTAAAGCCCAAATTAATCATTCAGCCCAAATGAACATGGACTTAATTCAAATTTTGTATGAATTTGATCCAATACAATTTATGTGTCTACAACATCAATAACGTATTTTTGTAAGTAATGTTTTTACACGTCGTTAGCTGCAAAATTCTTCGATAAACCCCATTTAATTCGTCGCTAAATAGGTCCTACTTAATCATAATTTCAGATACTCCATTGTTATTTCATGCTTAATGAGATAAGCATGAATTTTTTGTTGTTTAGGTACGAAATTTTGTCAGTCGTTAATTCTTTATTTTCTAGTAGCGGTGTTAGAATATAGAAAGTAAACTAATTTGAGCAAACCTGTTGGGTAACGGCTACAAGATTGAGGTCAGGACCAGGCATTGAAGCTGTGACAAACACAGCCACAGCAATCTTGTGAGGGAACTTTTCCATGGCAAGAGATATGTTGATGCCACCCAAGCTATGTCCCACTAAAACAACTCTTTCTTGTTGTGGCAAAGAATTCATAAATTCCATCAATGGTTCATTGTAATCAGCCATTGAATTGAGATCTTCAACATGTTTTGGATGAATTCCAGAGGCAGCCATATCAAGAACACTAACTTTGTGTCCTTCACTTCTTAGAATTGTCACCACTTTGTACCAACACCATGCACCATGACAAGCTCCATGAACTAATACAAAGTGATTTTTATTACCCTTTTCCATTTTCTCTTTTTTATTGAATACTTGTTTAGATGACACTTTTCTAATTAATATTGAGAGGAATTTATAGTGAAAGAACATGATTTTACTTTGCTATAAATTATTTAGAAGGAATAGTTTTGCTATAAATTATTTAGAAGGAATAGTTGCTCTTTTAGTTATTTAGAAGGAATAGTTTTGCTATAAATTATTTAGAAGGAATAGTTTTGCTATAAATTATTTAGAAGGAATAGTTTTGCTATAAATTATTTAGAAGGAATAGTTTTGCTATAAATTATTTAGAAGGAATAGTTTTGCTATAAATTATTTAGAAGGAATAGTTTTGCTATAAATTATTTAGAAGGAATAGTTTTGCTATAAATTATTTAGAAGGAATAGTTTTGCTATAAATTATTTAGAAGGAATAGTTTTGCTATAAATTATTTAGAAGGAATAGTTTTGCTATAAATTATTTAGAAGGAATAGTTTTGCTATAAATTATTTAGAAGGAATAGTTTTGCTATAAATTATTTAGAAGGAATAGTTTTGCTATAAATTATTTAGAAGGAATAGTTTTGCTATAAATTATTTAGAAGGAATAGTTTTGCTATAAATTATTTAGAAGGAATAGTTTTGCTATAAATTATTTAGAAGGAATAGTTTTGCTATAAATTATTTAGAAGGAATAGTTTTGCTATAAATTATTTAGAAGGAATAGTTTTGCTATAAATTATTTAGAAGGAATAGTTTTGCTATAAATTATTTAGAAGGAATAGTTTTGCTATAAATTATTTAGAAGGAATAGTTTTGCTATAAATTATTTAGAAGGAATAGTTTTGCTATAAATTATTTAGAAGGAATAGTTTTGCTATAAATTATTTAGAAGGAATAGTTTTGCTATAAATTATTTAGAAGGAATAGTTTTGCTATAAATTATTTAGAAGGAATAGTTTTGCTATAAATTATTTAGAAGGAATAGTTTTGCTATAAATTATTTAGAAGGAATAGTTGCTCTTTTAGTCCCTTGATTCTTTATGAATTTTGACTTTGGTCCTTGTGATATATACTCCAATATTCAGATTTAACCTTGAATTGACGCGTGTTATATTGGTCAATTACATATAATAAATTACTCCATGTGTTACATTTTGATTATTTCTAGAACAATGTTATGTTCAAATATAGAGTGATGAACTATACAAATTTAATATAACACGTAGGAGTTGTTTGGTGTGATGGATAAAGAGAGTTAATCTTGGGATGAATTTTAAGTAGCCTCTAATCTCTTGTTTGGTTGCAAGACTGAGATAACTTATCCCAGGATTAATAATTAGTACTGGCATAAGTTATCCCTCCCCTTGGGTGGTATAGTAATCTCAGAATGACTTATCTCGGGATAACTTACATAAATGACAAACATATCCCTTTAAACTCTATTTATACCTCACTTTTCAAATTTATGTATAACTATTTTTGAAAGTCTTCAATCTCCTTAATTTTAAATAATTCTTTACAAAAAAAAATTATTACTAAAAAAAAATTATGTAGTACAAATCTTATTATAAATTTACTTTTTCACTAAACAAAAATATTAGCACATGCCCTCCTGATTCCCACCCCCTTCCCGCACCCTTCGTACATTATTTTTAATACCATATATAATATTATTCACTACTCCTTATTTTTATGATAATTCTTCATATTTTTCTATTAAAAAGTACACTATATAAATATATAATTTTTATTTATGATTATTATATCTATTTATATTTGATTTCTCATAAATCCTCTTTTACTAACAAACTTAAGATGAAAATTCTTTTTTAATGCCAAATAAAAAATAAATTATTTTAAAATACATATGGTGAATGCACACACAAAAATATTTAAGCTAAATAAGATGAAAGTTTTATTTCTAAAAATGAATAATTAAAGCTTTCAAAGAAAATATAAAAAACTAAATAAAGTGAAAGGTAATTTTGTAAACAAACAATTTGTTCTTAAAATTTATACAATGATTTTAATTTTGAATACAACAAATCAAACACTCACTAAGAATAATCCCAACATAGCTTATCTTATCATATAACTAATCGCAGCATAACTAATCCCATCGTCACTTATTTTAAATAATTATGATACTATTTTTCTCTTAATTTAGGTGACAATATTACTACTTGGACCATGTGTTTTTTTAAATATTTTGAATTAAAATTAATTATTATGCCTTCAAATAATTGTTATGTAAATTATTTTTAAATACATTGAAAAAATACTTGTGTTCAAAATTTACATCGAAATTTAGATGTATTAGCCCTTTTACTCCAAATCTTGCAAAGTATAAAACATGAAACGGAAAGTAATTCATTAAACTTGTAAAGATTCACGAGTAAAAAGTTCACAAATACATATAACTTCAATGTGCTCAAAATGGATGACTCTTACCACATGTTATGCAAGAAATCAATATTTTGATGTGTACGTCCATTTTCTGTCCAACGATTATAATCCATTCATATTTGGTCCCTAAGAAACAGATATGTTGTCTCTTACCGTTCACAGATTTTTCCTCACATGGCAATAATCTACATTCAAGGTCAGGTCTCTTTCTCTATTCTGCCGTATAGTTCAAAATTATTTTACTTTCTTCGTCTCAATTTAAGTATTTTAGTTTGGTCGGATACAAAGTTTATTACAATAATATTATTTCATTGAATTTGATGAGTGGTGAAGGATTTAAACTCGGAGATTTATGCGGAATTATACATACCTTCTTGTTATAGGATCAAGTTCTATCACCACCAATTGCCTAAGCGATTTCTTACGAGATCACTATGGAGTCTTGTATTGTTTTTCACAACAACTACACTCTTTATCTAAGGAACTCTTTTCTTGTGTTGTTTGTGTTGTTCTTGGATGACCCCAAGTCCTCCCTTTTATAGGACAAGGTTAAAACTTGTAACTCTTATTCATTCAAGAGTTACATTCCCACTCCATTCAAGAATACATAACTCTTCTTCTTTTACTATAGGGAGTTAGTTAGTGGAGTTGTAACTTACTTCATGAATGAAGCAAGTTACTAGTCAACCCATCAATGGGTACATCTTTTTCCAACATCTCCCACTCACACATGATGGGATGAAACACATAGGGCTTTAATTTGAAAAGAAAATTCCTTTAGACATTCATACCGAGTGTATTGTCGTGATCGCTCAGACACTAAGTTTGGGAGCTCTTACACTAGCAATCTTTTTTCTAGATCAGCATAAGAGACTACAACCCTTTTATGATCATTTATGATATATTATCATGTCATATAAAGTAGCCTTAGATGCCCCACACATGTCTATATACACATATGGCTTCTTTTAACCCTCTTTTCATTTTCAATTTTCATATGCCTTGTGTCCACACTTATGATGCTAACTAAAATAGGTTTCATAATGGACCGGTCTTAGACACAAGCATAATGTGTATATATTTGACATGATCTTCCTTACGCCCACATATCACTAAGATCAGGATTAATTGCTTTCCTAGCATTACTCCTTCAGGTCGTATTTTCATAACCTTTAGACTCATACTAAAGTAGCATACACTAACCCATCACTTCATGATATTGTCAAAGTCATAAGGGCACTAGTGGAAAAAAAAAACTTTTCAAGGTCTCACATAAAAGCACATGCAGTATGAAATGCATGTTACAGTGTGCCTCTGATTTCATCAGAGTGTATGTCGATTTTCATTTCTTCACACTGTACAAATCTTGGTCCAAGTAAATCATTTACTTGACCTGAGTTCTACCGCTCTATTGTACTTTTAGAGGAGATCTCACATATGGCTGCAAGTATTATAGGTAGTGGGAATTCATAATTTCGATCCATTTTGACATTTCTCTTGGATCTCATCCTAGTCTTTTACTAGGGTAACTTTAAATAATATGTTCTTAATCGAAGGTGCCACATATAGTAGCTTTCTTTTTTAGCGTTAAGAAACACAGATGTCTCATCTTGGCTCGCTTTCCATATGCGTCCAAGGGGTTGCTCATGTGAGGAAGCCAACCTTATCAACTTGTACGACATACTCTAATATTGTGAATGTGCTAATCAATAATAATGTATGAAATAACCATAAAAAACATCAAAAAGATATCCATACATTATGATCAAGATGTTCAAATAAGGAAATATATCATTTTACATCCCACGCAAGCCTAGAGATTTCACATGTTTAACAAAGACCTCTCTAGGTATTGGTTTTGTTAAGGGATCCGCTACCATCGTGTGCATAGAAATGTAATGTAAAGCGATTTCCTTACGTGCCATAATGTCTCTAACAAAATTATACTTTGTATCTATGTGCTTAGTCTTACTATGATACTTAGGCTCTTTAGTATATGCCATTGTTGCTTGGCTATCACAAAAAAATTGCACTGCATCCATTGGCCTGCCAATGATCCCTAAGTGTTCCATGAACCTTTTTAGCCATATAGCATGCAATGAACTCTGCTTCCATAGTTGATAAAGCTATGCATGTTTGTTTCTTGCTACTCCATGAAATAGTACCATTGTTAAGCAAAAAAACATAACCAGAAGTGGACTTTCTCTCATCCAAGTCTCCACCCTAGTCAGCATCAGAGTAGCCCACCAATTGTAAGTCACTTCCTTTATAACATAATTTATAATCAACAATGCCCCTTAAGTATCTCAAGATTCTCTTAACAGCTTTCCAATGTGTTTGTCCTAGATTAGATTGATAACGACTAACAAGACCCACTGCATAACAAATATCGGGACGTGTACACAACATTGCATACATTAAACTCCCAATTGCACTTGAATATGGGACCCTCTTCATGACGTCTTTTTCACTTTGAGTTTACATGTTTCAAGGCTTAAATTTTCACCTTTAGCTACAGGGGTGTCTATTGATTTACAGTCTCTCATCATGAATCGTTCAAGAATTCTTTCAATGTATGATTCTTGTGATAAAGATATTAAATTCTTAGAGCGATCTCTATGAATTTTAAC